AATTCGACATCTTTTAAACGTCTAAAGGACGTCCCGTTCGTCATGCACGGACATCCGTATGATGTAAGGAAGACGTCCAGTAGACATCTTTTGTACGTACAATGTACCGCCCAAAGACGTCTAGTAGACATCGTTCGTACATACAGTCTATCGCCCAAAGACATCCAGTAGACATCGTCAGTACGTACATTGTACCGTTCAAAGATGTTGACGCGTCATTCTAACGACATTTATTGGACGTCTTTGGGTCCAATGGCTGCGTTTAGCAGAAAAAGCTGTCTTGCAATTGTTGTAACAATCCTGAATCTGATGCTCTAAGATTCAGCAATTAAGAACATACACCAATCAGATTCATAAATTTTATAATTGTAAAACAGCTTTTTCTGCTAAACACAGCAAATGTATCCAATAAATGTTACATTCTTCCAGGATATACAATCGATTTAATGTAGACGTCAATTTTTAAGTGAACTATGCACACTTCTGTATTGTATACTATATATTACACTATAAAATTTAGAGTTCATTATTTAATAAAACAGTGATATGTATATAGGCAATAAAAATAATATCAAAAGTAAATACTCACATTTCAAAAATGTTCGTATAAAGTGAATAGCATTTTTGCATTAGTTTAGTGCAATATTTACTAACTGAAAATTATATAAAAGTTTTAATTTTATATTATAATAACTGAAATACAGATATTTTTAAAGTAATACTTTTATATATGTTACAAGAGCCAAAATCTAATTGAAAGGCCAAAACGTTACTAAAATCATTAAAATATAATTTCAACAAACAGAAAATGGTACGAAGAATAGAGATTATTGGATTCGCAAAACGGTCGAGAAAATAAAATCAGATGAATATACTTATTTTATTATATTACCAAATTAATTATTTTATTATATTATCACAGTATTATTTTTGTATAAATATCAATGGAAAGTTTTTATAATGAATACTTATGTAATATTTTATTTTTAAAATTATACTTATGACAATGACAAGTTACTTAACTTATTATACTATTAGCTTCTTACAATAGAAATAATAGATGATGTAGAAAACTGTAAGAACGTTATGAATATAACCTTATAATAATGAATATTTAAATTACTTCTTCGTATTACAATCCTTTGGAATCCTCTCCGATGCTCGCCGGAACCAATCAATTATTGTAATTTCAACGGTACGATCGTCAATTTTTTTAAATCGCTTTTTCACGGCATCTATAAATGACAAATTGTTATATTAAGGTCGTTCTACATTAGTCGCATCTTAGCGTCGCAAGGGTCGCAAATCATAGATTCGGCCAATCAGCGTTGATTTATAACTAGTCTACGACCCTTGCGACGCTAAGATGCGACTAATGTAGAACGACCTTTATGCACTGCTTGTGAGTAGGTACAGCGGATTAAATCGAATAAAAAAGTCTGTATTTTGCGGTTGTTAAAATAAAAATAATATTTAATTATATAAAGAAATATGTGCGAATGAGAGTGTATTCAGCAGCGGAGACCGAGCAGCGTCGCTAGGCGTGCAGCAAAGCGTGAGAAGAGTGCTTTACGCAAATAAATGGCTGTGCATGAACGGCGCACATTAACTCTGGAGCTCAATTCATGAATTCATACGAAAAATTTTCGTTTACGAAAGTAAGACGATGTGCGTTCACTGATTGGTGTATACACTTTTGTATGCGAAAATTTTTTCGTACGAGTTCGAGAATTGGGTCCTTGAGCTATTTCTTCTTGCTGCGCACTTACCTTTGTCGCTAAATGCACGCTTATTCACAAATCTTTTTTAATTATTTCTTCATTTATTGCGAAAATTGCAAAATGGACTTTATTCATTTTAACCCTCTCTATTTGCCCACGAGAAAAGTCGCAGTATTTCTGAGACACCCTGTATACGTATATTTATTGAAAATATTAAAAAATTTATGTGTTATATGTACAATACATAATGCAGTATATAACAATGAGTTTTCTTACAAGTAGGTATAAAATGAGTTGTCTTTCTGAGGGAAATTATAGTGGTACAAATGTGGATAATTCCATTTATTAAATAAACGGACCATATAAAAAATTCCAAATTAGTCCAGGATTAAAAACCGTACTTTCAGCGGTTTTAAATATAGAATTGTGAATTCCAAATATGGTTTTCTATCCTACATAAATTTTAACAAACATGGAATGTTCGATAGGATATCTGTTACTGTTAAAGCAAGGTTTATACTAATTTGTAGAATTAAAACTTCCTTTAAAAAAGGGAATTCATTTTCTACGTATTTGTAAGAAAACTATTTCTTTATCTACGGAAGTATAGAATTTCATGTTTATAAAATTCTATTTTAGAAAAATATTTACCAAATAATATATGGGTAAAATGAGTTCCTTCCAACCTATGGTTCTTCTTCCTTCCTAACCATGAAATTGTACGAGACAAATGAGGAGTAAAAACATACCCCAGCATACGTCGTATTAATTCGACTGGAACTTTTCCTCCGCGATTATAAAGTCTATTTTCCTTTAAAAAAAAGAAAATGATTGACTAACTTATGGCGTTCATTAATAATGTATACATTAGGTCGAAAATAGGAGTTAAAATTTAAACACTAAAAGATGGAAAAATTAGTGTATTCTATTATCGGTTTTGAAACTTATTGAAAAAACTCCAAATACTTGTAACATCATTATATTATCCTAAAAAAACTGTTATTTTTAACATATTTTTGTCATTGTGTAATTTCTCAATTTTTGTTAAACTTGAAATTCTTTCTTAATTATTTAAAACAAACATTATATAATATCATAAATTTTAGAAGAAATTTTATAATATCTGCACTTTTGCATCTTTTGTACTTAAAACTGTCTGTTTCGTGGAAACATTTGTATAATATACAAATTAAATGGCTTATGTGTACATTTATAAGAGTAACTTTTATATCATATTAACTATATTGTTGTCATAAATAATATTTGTTATTGTGTGTGTGTGTGTG